GTTGACAATGAAATGGGTACTGACACCCTCGGCAGGAAATGCCACCTTACCAAGGCTGTAATGGTGCTGAGACTAATATGTGTAACAATGGTCCCAACAATTTCCCTTCTTGTTGTGGCCAAAAGAACAAGCAAACCTCGGTTTCCAAATCACAAGCAGTGAGATGCCACAATTCCTAGGTAGGATCTTTCCAACCAATATCACATCGCTCAAAACTCTGAATTTCTCTCATCCGTCCAGACAAGAGATCTCGTATTTGCTACTTAAGTTCTGTAGTCTTAAACAACTACAGAGGGTGTAGGGAGTCACTTGATCTCTCTGAATATAAAAGATATACTAGTTTTTGTACAATTGAGCTTAAGAAGAAAATTAGCATCAGAAACACCCAGGCTCCCAAATGACTTACTTTCTCCTGAAAGTAGTTTGCTGACAAGTTGTAAATTTCCACAGTGCCATCTGTTCGTGAAACAGCCAATCTGTTTGACTGGTTATTGTAAGCCACACAGCGAATCCCCGATGGAACATAATTAAAGAAACGTACTCGATGGACCTTAAATTCACCCATTCCTAGTGGGGGGAAAGAGTCATTATTGTTAAATATTAACTGCAATATGTCACATGTATTGTTTCTTAATATAACTGTTCTGGATGAAAAACTCCAATCATATCTCACTGTAATTCATTTCTAAATATCTAATTAATGATGCTTTCATGCCCCAAACAGGACTGTATCAAACAACCTCCAGAAGCTCGAGATGGTTTGAACAATAAGGAGGCTTCAGCAACAAAATCAAAAAGGAACCTACTCCATAACTCCAGAATGCTAATCTCTTCGGGGAGGAAGGGGGGATATGCTAAGAATCTGCATTTTAGCAAACACCTCTCCCCAACTCCATTGCATGCTAAGTTGGTTTGCAAATCACAGACGCAAACTAAGGTAGTGACAGGACTTCGTGACTTCTCTGACAGCCTGGTCTGTCATCTGTCACCCATGTCCCCGGCCAACACACACACTGGGCGAAGGTAGGGATCGGGTCTGGTTCTCCCCTCACTTGTCTACCTTCAAGGCTTGGAGGTCGCGGGCAGAGCAGGCGCATTCGGCTTGGCCCGGCCCGGCTAAGAAGGCGTCTGAAGCGCGCGCGCGAGGTTTTCGCCACCTCTTCCCTCTCCCAGGGTCTATGGAGTAGCCCGCACCTAAACTCGGGTCAACGGGATCGATGAGCTTCGTGGGGCGCCGACGTTCGGCGAGCCGCACCTCTTACACTCCCCTCTCACGCCCCCTCCCCACACCCCTTCCCCAGCTCACCCACGGTCCGGCGGTCGCCTCTCGGTTCTGGCCTCTCTCCGCCCCGGCCCCACGTGCGCGCGCGCTCTCATGCTCTGCCCCGGAAGTGCTCCTGGCGCGAAGCCGGAAGTGCGCAGGCAGTGCTAGCGGCGGCGGCGACGGCGGCGGGAGGTTCGGTTGTCGCCCGTTGGCCGCGCGGCGCCGCGCTCGG